ATATAACTCTCATAGTATAACGGCCACTCCTGGAGACTCAAAAAGTCCAGAGATTGAAATCAGGCATGGTGATTTTCCCTCTCGAGTTCCTATGAGCCCCTTTCTGGCATATCATCAGACAGAAACACATTCGTCTTCTCATCTAGTAGTCATCGGCTTGAAATAATGCTGAAAATCAAGTCTGAAACTTCAGAGGAGCTGTCTGAATAGGGCTAATTGTGGGAGTGTTATCCCTGCATGGCATTAGGACTCCTTTCACTGTAAGACTCAATGGTGATTTATCAGATTAGCATCAAGAGAATGCTTTTAACAAACCTCATCGGACTGTTAATGCAGCCATCAAACACACAGCATTCCTGGAGACCTTTCAGAGGGGAACTCAACACGCTGTATCTGTATTAGATCAGGCATTACAGATAATTCTTTGAAGTGAATGCAATTATGCTCGTTTGGGCTGAAAGGAAGGCATGCTTTCACTAGCACTGAGCACTGCAGGATGTAAAAGCCATAAAAGCTAGCCAAAGTTTTTTTTTTCTTATTTTTTTCAAACTGTAATTAATTTTAGTGTGTTTTTTTATATGGAATTTAAGCAAATTTATGGCATATTTCAGGTTCAGGTATATTGAGATGAGTGTGTCTCTTAATTCTTACATCATTTGTACCTGACGGACAACCAAGTGTTGATAAAAATTATTACACAACTACATTGAAGAACAAGTTTCAGTTTGTAAATTCTTTTAAAGTAAGTTAGAGAAAGGAAATATAATTAACTACATTAAAAAATGAAGAGTGGGAAAGTGGGCAAGAATGCATTGCATTACTCAATTAAACTCCCAAAATCACAAAATAGTTCAGAAAATTTCATAAAACTATGTAGGTAGCATTCACAACTCTACAGGTAAAAACATTTATTTATTTTTTTTTTAATTATTCCAACCTGAATGTAATGGTGTTTTTTTTCCAAATAATGTTCTTAAACTGTTGTTAAATTTGCTAAATAAATAAATAAAAAAAACTGTCAAAATAACCAGTTTTTCATGACCATTTTAAACAGACAAGTGCCAGGGGGGTTTGAGATCCTGTCCCTTTAATTAGTAATGGTAAAGTGCCCCTCCGATCCAAATGCAATTTCAACTGAGGTTGTTGCAAATAAACTTTAGTCTCTCATTTCCATCGGTAAGATATGCATCAGCAGTGGCAGGAGCTACACAGTCTTCTCTTCCAACACAATGCACCCAACAATGGTATATTTCAGCCCTGCATCTGTAGCCAGATGTGTCGAGACTGAACAGGAAAGGATCTGGGACAGTCCCCTGAAGGGCCTCTGTGTTGCTGACCATTCAATCAGTCTTTCATACTGTATGAAAACCCGTTACATGCAATGAACAGTATTTCCACTGTAAATTGGAGTGTTTCAGAATCCTTATCTAGTGATGTTTTAGCTGAGACTGGGAAACATTTCAGGTTAGACAGAAGACGGATTATAAAAAATGACATGTATAACCTTTAGCCATCAGCCAGGATGTTAAAATGAAAAGTTGATTCACTGTTCTGCATGACAGCTAGCACAAAACAAAAGAGCAATCAAAGTAACTGTACATTTATTCAGTTTTTCCATACTTCCAGCGCTTCCACAGTCAGTCACCTGTTACAGTAGCTCCATTTAATTAAAAAGTAGAATAAATAAAATTATGGAGCTTGCAGACATGACTGCATAAGAGATGATTCTTTCAACTCCACATTGATTATCGTAGAACCTCACAAGGACAAAGAGCTTTTTCTGTAAAGGGCTCCCAACTCTGGAAAATGTTACTAAATTAAATTAAAGCAGAACATGACATAAAGTGTTTTACAATGGTGGTTAAGCGCTGGTTTAAAATAAATCAGAGTTGTACGCAGGTTTAACAAAAATTTTAATTCATTTTTCTTATTATATGTTGCCAGAGTTGGGAGTAACCCTAAAATAGGTAATCAATTTATTATTATTTTTATTATTATTCATATTTATTTATTATTATTATTATTATTATTAAAAAGCCTTTCTAGGGGCTCCAGATGCAAATTAGCATATGCTATACTCTGTATATGATATACTATATCGTATATATAGTATAGCATACTATATCTACAGTATGTACAATGCATTTTTTTCAAGTAATTAATAGTTTTATTCAGAAAGGGTGCATTAAATTGATCAAAAGAGGCAGTAAAGACATTTATAACGTTACAAAAGGTTTCTATTTTAAATAAATTCTGATCTTTTAAAAACTGTATTTATTAAAGAATCCTGAAAAAAATCAGTTTCCAGTTTATTCATCATACAATCCTGAAAAAAATAATAATTTTCCACAAAAATATTACGAAACGTTTCTTGAGCACCAAATCAGCATATTAGAATGCTTTCTGAAGGATCATGTGACACTGAAGACTGGAGTAATGGCTGCTGAAAATTCAGCTTTGCCATCACAGCAATAAAATGTATTTTAAAATGTATTTAACATTTTTAAATTGAAATAATATTTCACAATGTTACTGTTTTACTGTATAATTGATGAAAGCCTTGGTGAGGAGACTTCTTAATAAAAAAAAAAATTTGACCAACCCCAAACTTTGACCGATAGCATATAAAGAAGCGGACATAGAGAAATAGACTTGAATTTTAACATTTACATTTCTGCATTTAGCAGATGGATTTATCCAAAGCAACTTACCTTGTATTAGAGGTATACATTTTAGCAGTTCATGACATTGGGACATATTGCTAGCGCCATGCTCTACTGCATGAGCCTCACTGTGAAAAAGAAATCCTTAAAGTAACAGAAAAAGTACTGGTAGCTCATTCACTATCCATTAATTTTAAGGACATTTCCGTTAACTCTAAAACACAACTCAACGAAGTGAAAAATTCCAAATACTGGTAAAACACCTGTAAAAAAATAAACATGGAAATTAATGCAGTACTTTATACCCTATTTTTACTAAATATTTAAAAAATTACAACATTGATCCCTTTTTATAACTAATAAATACATTACTATACAGATTATCAGTCTCTAAATATAATTATTATTAGAATTATTCACACGATTTATATCTAAAACTTACTGTAAGTCAGGGCACATTTGGGTGCAGCTGAATCAACACACGGATACTGATTTGCAGAAATCAGGCCTCATCACATCCAAGATTTCCACTGACATTCCATGACCGTCTCAGGACTCTCCCATTACACAGAAGAGGGGGATTCTTCCGCCTGCAGCCAGTGGAGAATGATGTAGAGTGACAAACCATGTGTATAGTCTGATTAATGAAAAGGACGGAAAAGGACAGGTGGAGAAAAGGACTCCCATGTAGAGTCTCAAGTCTCAAAAAGATAATTTGCCAGGCTGATGATTGTCTGACATGGAAAGCTCTAATAGTCTGATTAAAATGAGGCATCTTCTATCTGATAGTAGTGAAAGAGTTCTGCTGGCCAGCTGTGTGACACGTCACCGGTATCTACCGCTTGAATGCATGATTTTGCTATATATTACAGTTACGTGCCTGCTGGGGCCCATGGGAATGTTTAGCACGGATGGGAGTGTTTTTCAAGCCCTGTCTGTGATTTGAAGAACCACATGTGCATACGATTTTTCTTTCTCTCGGCTCCTGCCCTCATCCAAGTTGACTGGAAAAGGCGACGTTTATACTGATTTACAAAGCTCCTTAAGGCAGAAACAAGTGAAACTCCCCAAGCCTGTGCTTTACAGAGCATTTCACTAAGCTCGATGGGGTGTTACAGTTGAAGACCAATAAAACTTCGATGTTTGTTAAAGTCATTTACAGGGTAAACTCCACCTGTAAACTTTCGCTATAGGGAATTCATATTATACCAACAAATTAGTGGAAAGACTTGGATGAGGTAAGAATGCAGTAAATGTCAGATGCATAATTCACACAATATTAATTTGAAGTGTTGATGTTTCATCAACATCTGGCTAACTGTCGCTAATATAGCTTAAACTAGAGCTTACATCACTCAGGGTATCCATGCACAAATAAATAAATCTATATAAAATGAATTTTAATGTTCATTTTAATTTCATTTTTTTATGTTTTAATACATTTCAATTTTGCATGTAAATGTACATTTTATATTCAAAGTAATAGTCCACCCAAAAATAACATTTTGCTGAAAATTTACTCACCCTCAGGCCATTCAAGATGTAGAAGAGTTTGTTCCAGTGGATCCTCTGCAGTGAATGGGTGCCGTCAGAATGAGACTCCTAAAATCTGATAAAAACATCACAATAATCTAAACAAGTAACCTACATGACTTCAGTCTATCAATTATCATCTTGTTAAGCAAAAAGCTGCATGTTTTTGTTATAAACAAATTCATCAAGACATTTTTAACTTCAAACTGTTGCTTCCGGGCTAAAATATGAATCCTCTATCCAGAATATTTCTTTCTCTAGTGAAAAGCAAATCTGACGGCACCCATTCACTGTAGAGGACCCATTGGTAAGCAAGTGATTTAATAATACATTTCAGCAAATTTTAATTTTTGTGTGAATTTTTCCTTTAATTCAATTTATTATGCAATAGATTTTTAATTATATGATTTTAATATATTTATATGCATAATTTTTATATAATAATTGTTTTATTATATAAACACATCTGTTCCACCTTTATTTGACCCTCTAACTCTAGCACTTTCTATTCTATTTTAATTCTACTTTATCTACATTTATCTTCTTTTTTTATTAAAAAAATTATTAATATTTTTCTATTCTATTTTTTTTATTCTATCTACTTGTTTTTCTTTGTGTGTGTGTGTGTATGTGTGTGTGTTTATGTGTGTGTATAATATATATATATATATATATATATATATATACACACACCTTGCTACGTGTACTGCGTTAGGCTAACCGAGACTTGTCATTTGCACTTATATATTGTTGCTCTTTTGTTAGTTTTGACTGCTTTTATTGTCCTCATTTGTAAGTCGCTTTGGACAAAAGCGTCTGCTAAATGACTAAATGTAAATGTAAATGTAAATAATTATACCACACATAAAAACATCAGCTGTTGGTGCTTGTGTTCTGATGCCTTGAGCTTTGGTGCTTTTGCTGCCTACAAGAAAAAAAATTCAAAAGGAACAAAATTATTAACATTAGAAGATCATACAGTATTATTTGCAAGACAATGCACATTTTGTGACTTTAGAAGGCATGACTATAAACAATAAACTGTGGCTGCAGTTGCATAAACTGCTAAGGCTAGTCTTGTGAGTCATTTTTTTACCTTAAGACTAGTCATAAAGATTTTAATTTAGTTACATAGAAACGCAGATTGGTTGAATTTGAATCCGAAAATTAAGAGACCTAAAAACCAGGCCAAAAAGGCTTTCCTGCAGTTCAGAGAACATTATCATACTATGATGAGACTGACAGATGATGTCATTACCCTACAGAGAGATCTGTTTACTGCTGTTTGACAGCATGCTCATATATTCTCCAGAGTGCAGAAAGCTGTCCTTATATGCTCTGAACAGTCCTAGAAAAACACATCAAAATAATAACAGGATTCCTAAGAAAAATTGATCCAAAACTAAGCGGACCAGCATAACCACACTCCTGTTAAAAGTTTCTTGAACAATACAATCAACGGCAAAGAATTACACAATACCTCTTGCAGCCATTTCCACTGTTAAATTTAGCTCCACTCTTGACAGTTCAAACAATGGCGTCTTTGAGCTACAGATTTCATTGTTATAATGAATAAACTATGCAGAACTGTGTACACTACTAAGCTGAGGATAAAGGAGTTTGGGGATGAAATATGGAAGAAGAAAAAAAAGTGCAATGCGCCAAGATGGCCTTGTGACTTAAAAAAATGCTATCATTGAGATTCCTGTACAGTGAAGGTCTGCAGTGGGCTGTGGAGTAATTTTGTGCCGTTAGTGAGCAGCTCTACAGCAGAAGGGCTGCCAAAACTAGAAAGCTGGGCCATAACTCAGAGAGAGACTCACATTGGTTACATAAGCATGTTCTGCTCTTAATGTGTTCTGCACACTCCACTTCTCCATCACCCGCATTCACACAGACCAACGGCATTACAATCTTCATATGTCACCTAGATGCACCAAATGCATCCCTGACGATTAGTACACAGAGATTTACCAAATGTGCTGAGAGAAGAAGGGGAAAGACTGCTTTAAGATTGGGGATCCTTAAAAGGGCTGTTGTGAAAAGATTTCATAACCGGTTAAAGTCATGAAATTATATATTAT